GACAGTAGTAAATCAAGCAGGTAGAAATCAATAAGAACACAATGAAGAACTCTTGAAGAACACAGAGAGAAAATGCTTCAAAGGATTTTCACATTGAAAATGTTGACAATTACAAAATGGAAGCTTGTCAAATACAAAGGCCTAAAGCTGCTTTTATACAAGCAAATAACCGCCAAGACAGACCTAGAYGTATTATTTAATCTAAGCCGTCCAAATAAAGCAGATTACAGACATGATCACGTGTTTAGCATAAGCAGCTAATAAACCTAAGTACATAGAGGTCTGCACAGAAGACTAACTGCAGACCCTCTGTGAGACACCACAGAGGTTCTGCTGTTTATGACTTGAAAGCTTGATACAGAGGGACATTCTTCCAGAACCTCTGTGAGACACGACAGAGGTTCTGTCGTCTTTGTCTTGAATGATGGGCTACATTGTTGAATGTCCTCTGCAATCTTCTGTGAGATATTATCTTCTGTCAAAACTTGCTGTGTTACTTTTTCGATACTTTTACATTCAAAGATGATGAGAGCTAACAGCGTTAATGAAAATAAGACCACATGAAAATGACATGGATAAGAAATAAATCAGTGAATAAGGCTGATTTTATTAGTAGCATAATTTTTTTAAGAAATGGTCAAATACATGGACTATTTGGTGATGAGATAAGACAAAAACACACACCATGGTGTATTAGGATTTAGGAAATCCTTTCTATTGATATCAAATTGATTTTTCTAATACAATCAAAATGCATTTAGTTCTTATTTCATCTTGTACTATAAATATACAAAAGATTTAAAATCTTTATCTTAAATTTTTCGATTTAGATTAAATGAAAATGATATTATTAATATGAATATAATCAACATAGTAAAGTGATTAGATTTTTTCAATCTCAACATATCATATAATGATAATCACATTATAATTAAATTCAAATAAATCTCTCTTCCTTCTCCATTCTCCTATTTCCAGTCTCTTCTCAGTCTCTGGTTGTCACGATCTTCCCACCCTCACTCCATCTCCATCGAGGTATGTATTATGTTCCCGCAATTTTTAGAAAATGAATCTTATGGTAACTTTGTCACGATCTTCCCACCCTCTCTCCATCNCAATTTTTAGAAAATGAATCTTATGGTAACTTTGTCACGATCTTCCCACCCTCTCTCCATCTCCATCGAGGTATGTATTATGTTCCCGCAATTTTAAAAAATGAATCTTATGGTAACTTTTCCACAACCAGTAGATTAATTGAAACACTTGCACTCGTAATTAATATACACACACATCCATAAACACCATAAGCAATTTACGACTCTTAGGCTTGCATCATAATCACCTTAGAGATGGCACATGATGCATATTCTATTATCTTGCCAACAATCATAGAAATATATCATGCAAATAGTGAAGGTAATTAACATGTTAACCATGAAATCTCATAAATCATATGTGATGTATCACTATTACAGACTCTTTTAACATGGGATACTTGACTGTCTATTTTCTCTACCAATTAGAATCATGTCTTTTTTATTAAAATGAATAAACAAGAAAACATACTACATTTGGGGATCTTTGTGACTTAAGAAACATGGTATGGATATTCAAATGAAGATACAAATAGAGATATATAATTGGAAACCATTATCACAATAGACGAGAGATTCCAAAGCCACATCCAATCTAAGATCAAGTCATATACTCTTATATCCATCTTTTGCTCCTAAAAAATAAATCCTTGAAATAATGATAAGCTACATGTGTGTGTATGCCCACAAAAATGTATGGTATCACGACGTTTTGCACACATCGTACATTTTTCAAGAAACAATTTTTAAAGTAAATAACAAAAATTATAAATAAGGCCCGTCAACACACCAAATAATCATCAAATTAGGTTTCGTTGTCTTTAACCATTAGATATAAAATGCTCTCCTCATATAGTAATACATATTATTTAGGGAATTCTTATTTCAGACTATTCACATATATGCACATGTTTTTAGTTAAAGTACAAATGATATAATATATTATATTCTAATAACCGTTACATATTTAAAGACAATAGAGTAGACTCATTGTGGGACAATTTTGATAGAAATCAAATGGATTTATTTTAAAGAGTCACAGTTTGTCACTATAAGGATTGTCTTAATTTTTAGTTTGATTGTCGTATGAACTTGTGCTTCATTTTGAGATTATTATTTTTGCAAGTGTCATCTAATTATACTCATTTCGACTTTAAATTATAGATCCTATATATAATAAGATGTTAATAATCATGTTTATTAAAGGTATTGGAACTTGCTAATGAAGAACGTAACATTCGATGACGACTCGCATATATGGCATGTTATGAAAGACGTGAAAGATTGACATTCAAACGTGCTACTAGATCATCTGATGCATACCAATATGTGTATGCATTAAATATTTTGAGAAAAGAGATATTCAAGCATGCAAGATTCCAAAGAAAAATTTCCATCATTAATAAGCGATTCAAGACCCGTCCACACTTGAAATTTGCATATACAGATACATTTATCACATCGATGCTCATACATTGGAACTCTAATGGTATGCAAGTTTTTTTAAGATAATTTCTAATTCACATTATGAATGCAATTTGATGAACATTTCATGCACACATTATTAATGTTTCAAGTAATATTTTTTATCTTCCATAATAATAATGCTTAGTATAACCAACTTTGCAGCAAAGATGTTCAATATAATTAAAGAAAGACGAATTTCTGATGCTACCACAAATGTATCTACAAGTCCGATACATAACAATGACGCATGTGATTGCATGCAAATTATTTTGATAAATATTTTATCTATACATTATACAATTTTAAAATAAATAATTCATCTATCTTTACACAATATCAGGTCCGAGTGGTGCAAGGCTCTCTAATTCAAGTTCATACACTTACGTGCAATGTAACAAATCTAAGGACCAAGGTAAATGATGTTATTATCCTTTGTTACAATCATTTCCCATAGTCGTGTATATCAATATTAATTCCAAACTACATGGACTTTCAACAATTAGTGCCACTTGCGATTCCATGGAACTTCGGGAAGCCAAATCATAAATGCAAACATTGTGGCGCCATTATGTGGTATGAAGAATGAAACCAAAAGACCAGCAAAACCTCTGATCCAACATTCATATTTTGTTGTTCAGAAGGTCGTGTAAGATTGCCGTTACTTCCGCAACCACCAAGGATACTTCAAAATATGCTCGACCCCACATCTAGAAGTAAAAGGGTAGCTTTTCATAGAGAAATACGAACATATAATTCTACGTTCGCATTGACATCACTCGGATGCCGAATTGATTCTACTATTAATCACGGGAAAGGGCCATATGTTTATAGAGTGAGTGGACAAAATTTACATCGAATTGGATCTCTACTGCCTATAAGTGGTAAAAGGCCTCAATTTGCCCAACTCTATATCTATGACACCGAGAATGAAATGACCAATAGAGTGAATGCAATGCAAATGCAGTTTGGCCATACCGATTTAATTCAGAGATAACATAAGAACTATCTGAAATGTTAGAGGAGCACAACATTTTAGTAAAGTCATTTCGCATGGCTAGAGATCGATATCATTTAGATCCTGATTCTGCTTTTCGCTTACGAATCATCAAAAGTCGTAAAAGGGATGGTCTGCAATATAATATGCCCATCATTGAGGAAGTTGTTGGTTTAATAGTTGGTGATCTTAGTGAAGAAAATTTTGAGCGTGATATCATTGTTGAACATCGTACAAATGGTCTTCAACGCATTATGGATCTACATCCAAGTTTCATGTCCATGACGTACCCTTTGATACTATTGATCTCATATCTCTCAATAACACTAATAATCAAGTTAAGAATAACCATATTATAGTGTTTTAATGAACAAAATGATGAACACTCAAGAACAATGTATGAACATTCAAAGAACAATCTTGAGTGCCAATGATTTCACTTTATTCAATAAGAAAAACGTAAAAGCGACGTTGATTACAATAGGCCTAATCACCTATTTATACTAGAAGGCTAATTAGAAGATAACTATCTAGTGAGACTATTTAGCTAATCTTCTACTAACCGATAAAGTTTATCTAAACTATGGATAAGCTATAATTTAAGAAAAAATTGAAATCCAACTGTCGATTAGTTGTCTCCAGCTGTCTTCCATGGGATGATGATTCAACCTTATCTTTATATTTTCATCGTATGCCTCTGGTTGAATTGCTGAAGAAAACTCTAAGTGTTGTTGACCAGAGGGGTGATGAAGATGCTCTTTTCGTTGCATCTCTGGTTGTTCATCGACCCTCTGGTTGTTCTTCAGACTTGGTCAATTCTGTCTTAACATCTTCATCGGTCTTCTGGTTCTTCATCACTTATTGTTTTTCATTACTTTTACACTTATAAATTATGGGGTCTAACAATCTCCCCCTAAGTAATGAAAGAACAAACATAAACTAATCTATGAATAGTATTGAATAACAGAGACTAATCTAAAGAAAAGCATCAAATTCCAAATTTTCATTGGATGATGAATTCTTACAATACTGGAAGCAAAGACATTTCATTTTAACGCAAAAATTTTAAAACTCTATTCATGATCTACCTTGAGATATTTCCCAGAAGCGCAGAAGCAATCTTCGATAACTGAGGACTGTTGATATCTTATGAATGAGTTGATTCCCGTCTTCCCTTGGCACATGAGTTCTACCCAGTCTCTCTTTGATAACTTTTTGAAACCATTCAAGTGTATCGGTTGAATACTTGAATGCTTCAGTTAGCCTGAAAATTTTCTTTACCCCGAACTCATTCTTGAAGACAAGTCCAAGCTTGGGTTGAGTCAAGACAGAAGCAAATCTCTTCTTCTGCAGGCCAGGGAAGTCTTCATCAGGTGGAGTGTAGGAGAGTCTTTCGATGCCCAAATGAAGAGCAATCTAATAATCACACTTGGCTCGATGCTTCACCAAGGTCTCCATTGTCTTCATAATTGCTCTGTTTGTCATTCCAAATCTTATTCCTTGAACTTGTCGCTGAGCTGTGAATGCATAAAGGTCGATCAAGTCATAGGGATTGAGATTGATTAAGTCATTGTTGTTGAAGACGATGACCTGACTATGGGCTCTCTCCACATATCTTATAGCTCTATTGGCAAAGGTCCTCATCTTTATGTCCATTACCATCCTTATCCCATTGTTTGAGAAGACAGCTTGTGGTGGTTGGGTAGTCTGTCTAACAAACCTATGGTGTAGGAGGTCCATGGATTCTAGCGATAGAACATGAGTAGGTATAGGTACTGATGGATATTCTCCATCATAATTGGTACCCTTGGTGGCATCTCTGGACGTCTCCTTAGCGATTCCATATTCTGGATGATCTCGTCGACTAGGCTTTGCGGAGGGTGCCTTGATGAAGAGGGAATGTCCGCTTGCACCATAGTTGGTTTGGTTGGGGGTTGAGTTTGGGTTGTGGGCTGTGTATTGGTTGGTGATGGGATGGTTTCATGGGTTGGCTCATGTTGGGGTGGTTCAGGTTCATCGGGTTATGTTTGGGCTTGAGGTTGTTGAGGTGAAGGTTGGATGTGTATTTGTTCAGGTTCATTGGGTAGGGTGATGAAAGGTTGTGTATCGCGAGGGGTTGGTGATGGGGTTAATGGTAGGCTTGGTGTTGGTGATGGAGTGAAAGGTGGGTTGGTTTCTATTGGTGGGGTTGATGGATTTTCATCGGTTGAGGAACTCAACATGATGGCTCAGGTATGGTGGCAAGGGGAACCTGTACATTATGTACATCTTCAGAGGGCTGAGCCTCTGGTTCCCTTGCTTGGGTTGATGGTGGAGATTGTTGTTGTGTTTGGGGTAGTGGTGATGGTGCAGTGGATTCCATCGGTTGAACAGCCGCAGCCTGGTTCTCCCCCTCATGAGGTCCAAGACCTTGATCATCGGGGTCTGGATCCTCATGCGTGGCCTTTTGTGCGGGCAGCTACTAGAGCACGAAGCTCTGCTCCTTGTCTTCTTTTTCTCCTTCCTAAAGGACACAAGATACGCCTTCAGGGCTTGTTGTCTTCGGCTCTCCTCCATCGTGTGAAGGAGAGACGTGGTGCGCCTTTGTTGGTCAGCAAGGCTCTGGGTGAGAGCCTTGGTCGGTTGAGCCGCTCGATGAATGAACTTGGCACTTATATCATTGAAAGAGGAGATAAGTGCCTTGGATAGAGCCCTGAGATCGGCTCTGGTGGCATACTCCGTGCTTGATGATGAAGCTTGTGGTGGCACAGAGGTGGTTGTGGATGTGGATGGAGGAATGAGAAGGCTGGTAATGAGATGTCTCACCTTTGCAATGAAGAAGGAGAAAGCTTCATCGAAGGATGGGCCTGCAGAGGGAGATGGAGGTGGTGAAGGATGAGGTATGTTGGCTAGTATGGTGGTTGGGAGTTGGTTCAGTGTGGTTTGTATGGTGGTCATTTGGCTGGTGAGGGAGGCTAGGGTTTCATCGATTGATGAAGTTGTTTGTGGTGGGGTTGGTTGAGTGATTTGAGAGATTATGGTGGCTGGTAGGGCGTTAAGGGTTTCGAAAATGGTGTTTATTTGGGTTGTGATGGAGGCTAGGGTCTCATCAGTCGCAGTTGTCTGGACCATGAGGGTGGCGATGGAGTGAATGAGGAGTTGGTTTCTTTGGGTGGCAAGGGAGGAGGTGGTGTTGTGGTATTGGGTGACGGTTTGTTGCAGCATTTGGAGACGTGTTGTATTGTCTCGGGTTTGGGTTGTAAGGGTGGCAAGGGTTTGTTGAAGGGTAGCAAGGGATTGTTGAAGGGTGGTGGTATCGATAGATGGTGGGTTGTCAACAATCCCTTGGATGATGAGTTTTAGGTCTTCCAAGGACCGCTGAATTGAGTCAACAAAGGCTTGGAACTCAGCCTTTCTAACCAGATCGGCCATGGGGGTAACCCCTGCAGCAACGGATGCTGCAGGTTTAGCCTCTGCTCCAGAGGCGCCTTCAATGCCTTGTGAAAATATAGGCCTTGAATGACTTCCATCATCTCCTTGATAGCCCTCAAGTGAGGAGCTATCTCTTGATGTTGCGACAACTTCTTCTTCTTCCTCGGCTTCAGAGGCCTGGTAAGAGAAGTAAGTGTGTTTCCCCTTTGCTAGATCAAGTATTGAAGGGGGGTTTTGTGCATGAATGGGAGATCGCTCTGAACGATCTTGGGGTTCAGCAATGTCAGAAGCAACACATGCTTCTGGGTGAGTGGGTGGTAGTGTCGAGCCTTGAGGCGATGTGGCTCTTATTTCTGCATCGCCTCTCTGTTGGGAGAGGGGTGATGGATGTTGTGGTGCCTCAGCTAAATCATCTCCAGAGGCCCGAAGAATGGCCTCTGGATAGCCGTCCTTGTTCAATACTCCTTTGGCCTTGATCGCCAGGGGTAGAGGTGGTGGTTGACCTTTGGGAAGAGGGAAGGGGATTTGTTTGAGTAGGGACGGGGGATGCACAAGGAGTGTCATCATCATCATTATCCGATGAAGATGCCTCCTGTGCTCTCTTGCTTGACAGAAGGGACGGCTCTATGCGCTCTGGGGTAGCTGTCCTTCGTTCATGGGATAGCAGAGAGCGTTCGTAAGTTCTTCGGATCTCCGATGTCTTTGGGATGACACTGAGCATGGCTCTGGAGATTGGTCTGTTGATGGTGTATCCTTCCTTCGAGAGTGTGGGTCGATGGCCATGCATCTTGAAGACGGGAGTGAATGGTTCTTCGGCCGGTAGGTTGTGTTTCCTCATCGCATCCCCTATGAAGAAAGATAGGAAACGAGGAAACAAGACAGAAGTCAAGGGCTTGCAGGTAGCCTGAAGTTTGCATTTTTTGACTACTGCTGAGTGGATCTCATTGTATATGAGGAAAGCATAGTCAAGAGGGATGTTGAAGAAGAGTCCGTACATAAATGTCATTATGTTGATGTTTCCTTGATCCATCGACCCTAGCTTGCAGGTGAGGGCCCTGTTCAATATGGAAAATAACATATTCCACATTGGCGGTAAAAACTGCCTCTTGAAGTCAGAGGCATTGCGTAGATCGCGATTGTAACCTAGCATTTGGATGAATCGGAGGATGTCTGAGGTGGTGGGTTGGTCGGCATATTGGTCAATGCCGAGCTCTCGGCGGGTGGGAATGCACAGAACCCTAGAAACTTTTGCCCGAGAGATCTTGAGCGAGCAGATCATGTCATTTGGGGCGTCGATGTCCCCCATTATTCCATGGCTGTCAGGGTCGTACTCGTAAGTCTGCCAGTATTGTTGGACGTACTTTAGTGGTACGCCATTGTTGGTTAGAGTCAAGGCTGGTAGAAGGATGCAGTTACGAAAGAATTCGAACATGACAGCAAACCTGTCGTCGAACAGGGTGGTTTGAAGTTCGATGGCATGGTTGTTGGGCTTCATTGGGAGGAACATTATTGTGCGGCTGTCGGCGCCGATGGATTGAACGTGGCTGTCGTTGTTATTAGGCTCGTGTGACGTGGAGGAAGCCATTGCGTATGAAGTTGTAGGTAAGTTTGTTCGTTAAAGTCTGTTTGCAGGTTTTAGGAAGCGTAAAAGGTAAAT